CCCGACGAGGCCTTGCGCCCTGGCGTAGCCGTGCTGACAGAAGGGAGGCAGCTTCTGGCGGGTGAAGGCGAACAGGAAGCAGGACTCTGCAGGGGGGGTAGAGAAGGATCAAAAATCAGACTCGGCAGAGAACAACTCCCGTAAACTCCTGGGGACTTGTCTGGAACAAAAGGCAGAGAGATGAGGGGAGATGACCGGAGTTTCCCACCCAGCATCCTGCCCTGGATGGCGGCAGAGAAATCGACTCCGTACTGCAGAGCTCATGAGATGCAGGGCGGCATCTCCAGTGTGCACCCTGAGAGGGAAAGGAGCTGGATTTGAGCTTGCAGCTCTCTGGCGTCTTCTTCGTACCACAGGACTGCTTCCCTCTGCACAGCGCATGGGGTTCCTGAAGGAGGCTCCCAGCCCAGTCTTCAGACCAGGAAGGGAGACCAGCTCTCTCATCCCAGCACTGCCGTTTCCGAAGGGAAAGCAATCCCATCGTCAGCACATGAAAAGAGATCTGGTACCCAACGGCACAAAGGAACGTTCCGATAACGGAGGAGGAAGGAAAGCTGCAGGCAGGAAAGGGACTGAACCAAACCTCACGCACCTCTCCCTAAATCTGTGTGTGCCTGGGGCATTCTCTGTCCAGCGGCGAGTGACAGCAGAGGCTGTTTGGGAACACACACACAGCACCAGCACTTTTCACCGTCTGGGGAGTGCACCGAAGGGGTGCGACTGACGGCGAGACCACCAGCTCGCCACAGGGAGACCTCAGCTATCGGCAGAAGAGACGGCTCCCGCCCCGTGTCCCTCGCCCCCCCCCCCCCCTCCACCTCGTGCCCACATTACCTGCAAAGAAGCTGCGCAGGTCGGTGCCGAGGCAGTTCTCCAAAAACCGCCTCAGCGGCAGGATGTGAGCGTTTGGGGCCGTCCAGTCCGTCAGAAAGTCCTCCACAATGTGGTGGACGGCGTCTGGCCGGGGGAGAGGCCAGTCTGGGGGCCGAAGTCTCATCTCACGCTCTGCCAAGAGAACGGTAACAGAATCTCTCGGAATCAAAACGGCACTAAAAAGAGCTTGGGGAGTGGAAAGCAGCTACGACAGCTGTTCCAGCTTTTGTCCCGACCTTTTTAATCCCTACCTTACTTCCATCTGCACTCCCCTCCGCTAGCTCTGTCTTCAGCAGCCCCACCTCTGCACAGCTGCTCTGGTCCCTGCCCGCAGTACTGCCTGTCATTTCGCTCCCGTTCCCCTGGGGCAGGGACTGCCAGATGGGCTGAGCTGTGTCCAAGCTTTAATGCTGCCACCCATCACACTTCCTCCCGCCCAAGACAGGCCAGACCCTGACCATGGGTTTCTGGAGATGGAGATTCAACACGCTCACTTCCCAAGGAAATCTGAGTGTTTGTTAGCTGGGTGTAACGCTGATCCTCAGACCCTTGCCTTTGGCTGCCTCTGTCACTGCGGGACCTCTCAGGCCTGGGCCGGCCAGAGAGAGCAGCTTGCTTCTGGCAGCAACACAGAACCACCCAGCCTCATCTGCCGGGACCCTGCAAAACGCGTGCAGGGTGCCAGCCAAAGGGGAGCAATGCTCCTCTTTCTGGGAACGGGGAAATTCCCAGCACGCGTTTGTTCCCGTTCTCACCTGTAAGGTCTCTGGTACAACCGCCCCCCACTCCCCACCCCGGATCAGCCTGACCGACAGAAACTTCTTGCCAACTCCCAGCTTTTTCTTCAGCGCACACGGTGGTGGTGGGCGCCCCAGAGGACGGGCACGAAGGAAGCGGAGAAGGGTGTGCAGTGCCTTCGGGTACCCTCCCCCCTGCTTTGGCTCTGAAGCATCTTCACGCCTCTCTGTTTTGCTCATATCGGGCAATATCCAGGAAAGCTTACCTGTGGGGAGGCGTTTGTAGTAGTAAATAACAGGGTGCAAAAAGTTGGACTGCCAGGCATGCTGTGCCTCTCCCACGGCTCGGTTGTAGTAGAAGACATCCTTGTCAGCCCCAGAGAAATTCCTCCCGTACTCCATGATGATGACAAACAGCCCTGTGGGAGCCTTTCTCCCCGTCTGCGTTTCCAGCTCGGCCAGGACTCCAACCGGGTACTCTTCCAGGTACTACGCTGGGGCTTCCCTGTAATTTGCAACCACAACCGTCAGGCGGCTCCAGTAGAGACAAGCCAGCTGGGATCCAACACGCCCTCAGCTGGTCGAGGCTAAGAGGCCAAAGAGCCATCAGATAGTAATTATTTTCGTTCGTTACAGATCTGGGCTGGACTTGATGCAGAGCTTATGAAGGCTGCAGATACTGTTAGAAGACTCCATTATTTTCCCAGATTACGGGATTCCTCTCTCTGTGAGCACTGCTCAAGGAAACCTTTTTCCTGGGGACAGCAAAAGGGTAGTGCACCTCTGAGCCTAGAGGGAAGGTCTGGACCCCTTAAGAGAGAGAAGTAATTGGCAGAATCAGGCATAGCGGCACCAGTCGCAGCAGCGGTACAGGTTCTGAGGTGCCTGCCTACGTGACAGTAACATCCCTAGGCAGCAACGGAGCAGTTTGTGTGGTGGCACCACGGGAAGCAACGGTAAAGAAAAAGGAATGGAACGATGGAGCGCAGTGCTGGGAATAATTACTCACTCACTCACTCTCTCAGCAGTATGATGTCAGCCAGGACACTGAACATCTGGTAGAGGCCCGAGGCCTCGTTCACCCGCTTGATGATGGAATTAGTCAGCTGTGTAATAGGGTAGGCTGTGGATGGCCAGGGGACACCATGGTGACGGTTTTCCAACAGGCGGTGGACTGCACGAGCTAAGGCATTGAGAGAAACAAAGACAGCTTATTTAAAAATCCAAGCTCACCCTTCTCAGAAATCCGATCGCCGTGCTGCGGCGCACGCAGATACTGGCAGGACACAATAAATCAGCTTTACGGCTCATCCGTGCTCAGGATCTCCCACCCCAATCGTTGGTAACTGCAGTGGAGATGCCCTCTGCAAGCTGATGTGATGCTAAGCGGCTGGTGAGGGGGCGGGGGGTCCTCGGGGATATTGCATTACTTCTGAGCAGTCCTTTAATGATAAGGATGGGCACACACAGATACAGACAGAAATTCTCTCTACTGCCCAAAGCCGCTGGGCTCTAACTCCACAGCACAGACCTCTCACCCACAGCCTGTCACGAGGCAGAGCATCTGGCAGGCAGAAATCTACTGTGTTACATAAATAAGAGACAACAGGCAAGAGAGACACAAGACAAAACAAAGACAGACAACCAAAAACTTCAGATATGACCCCAAGTCACTTCTCCTCCACTTCAGGGGATGCAGCTGCAGCTTGGCTGTGTTTTTGTCATTCTTACTGCCAGCACAAGACTAAGGGTGATCTCCTTTCAGCAGTAAGCCATGAATTGTTCCTTCGAAAGGAAGAACAATTCTCACCTCTGCCCTTTCTGTACGCCCCAGTACTCACTTGTATACCGGAATCCATGGATAAAGCCCCCAGCGGATTTCCTGAAGTCAACAGAGTGGCTAGCAGTGCCGAGAACAAAAAGCCCCCGAGTGTCTCTGGACTCGTAACTAGGTTTGATCTGAGGATACTTCTTTTTATTCCCTTTTCCTGGCATCAGTCTAAGGGATCTGATGTGCAAAAGAGAAGAGCAGGCTGTCAGGAAGGGCAGGGGTGGAAAAATGAAGCGTTTCTGATAAGGCACACATCATATTGCAGCCACTGCAATACACTGCTTCATGCCCCCACTGCCTCCAGGGGGATTTACTGCTTTCCCAAGAGCATGAAGTCAATGAGGATCTTCCAGAAGACAAGGATGCTCATCTCAAGGTAGCTCTGGACAAGATCAAATTCCAGCCTAAGCCACTGTCAGTGAAATTTTGGAAGACAGGGCAGTTAGCAGTATCATTTTGAACTGCAGGACATACTAGGAGACAAATCAAGGTGGAGTGAAGGTTGGATCCTCAGGGACAAAACCCTTCTGTAGTGATCTGTACCTGTACCATCCTCATTCAAAAAAAACCCAACAAACCAAAACCCAAAATATTGCTAGCCTTCTCCATGTGATCTGGCAGGTCAGGATGTGAAGTTCTATAGGCACAAGTTTTTTCTGTCACCCAAGTCCCAACGCTGCCATCTGCTCAGCCCTGTACCCTGTTGATCAGGGGGCAGCAGCACGGTCCCACTGGGACATGGCCGTAGCTCCACGGTAAACAAAGGACTGTGCAGAATCAGGCAGCTCAGAGCAGGTGGAGGTCCGGGCAATGCCACCAGGAGAGGACCTGCCCTTCCCCTTCCTCCCTAGTCAGGCCCTTCATAGTCTCTCGCTCTAAATACCTTCTTCTCTGGAGATCCTGGTTCTCCCTCACCTGTTGTAGATAGAGAAGTCAAACTTCCAGCCCAGGCAGCGGATGACACGGTCGTAAGGTGCGCGGGTGGCAAAATTATCCAGTTCGTCTTGCGGGAGGGTGATGGAGTCGATGCCTGCGCTGGTGTTCCTGTTCTCCAGGTAGAACCGGAGCGTGATGTGCAGCTTCCCCTTCTTGTCCTTGACGATAGCCAGATCTTCCAGGTTGCCCTCTAGAAGCCCATCCAGAGATTTCAGCTGGTAGGTGTCCAGCAGGCCGTTGTTAGTTGCTCTACGAAAAAAGGGGAATGTAAGAAGGGCTAAAAGAAGGGAGGGATGCATGGTTCAGTCTCAGCTGCTGGAAATGGGACACGTTTATCAGGCAACCCACGCTCCCCCCCTTCAGTGCACAGGGTATCCCCAGAACCTGAGGGCTTGCAGGAACAGCACAGGTAACACAGCCTCGCTGCCCTTGCAGGATGCTGTCAACCCCTCAGCTCTCCTCTGTGATCACAAGCTAGGGAACAGCTTGGGAGGACCTTTTAATGACAGTTCCAAAGGGGACATTCTCCTATTTCACACAGACCCTGAAGAGCTCTCATTGAGCACCTGTGCTCAGCAACTGCAGCCTGGACCACTTTAAACCAAGAACCTAGAGAGAGGAGCCCCCACGTTTCCTCTGCCACCCCCAGGAGCACGGCACCTCCTGTGCCAGCCCAGTTCCTCGCCTGGGCGAGAAGGGCTTCTCCTTGTTCGTACCCCGGCTGCATTAGAAAGAGAAATAAGAGTGGTTTCCTACCTCAGATCCCCGACATAGTGGGTGGCCCACGAGAGGCGCACGCGGGACCGGCTCACCATGTGGATGAAATTCGTGACGCCTAGAATGTTCTCCGCCGTCTCAAAGGCCGAGTTCCCTCGGCCCAAGATCAGCACGGTTTGGCCAGCAAAATCGTCCGGGTTGATGGACACAGTCTCGTAACCCTCAACGTATTCTGAGCCAGGGAAGTTTACCACATTGGGGACCCACGTGCCAGTGGCGACCAACAGAGAGCTGCAAAAACACAGAGAATGCAGGAATTAACGGGTATGGAGCCATCGCACCATGTGATCGCTCCTCCCTCCTCCCGCTGTGGAAGATGGCTGTGATGTGTCCCCTCCAGCCAGGCTGGATCAGCTGCACAGGTCACGGTGTCGAGAGAAACCTCTCCCCGGCTTCAGCTAATGACCCACTCCTCTCTTCCCTATCCTCGGGCCAACCAAGACAACTAGGAACATCGTTATGTATAGCAAAAATGAATGCGGGTGCTGTACGTATAAGCTCCACTTGTTTCCTAAGTCTTCCCCTGTTTTTCCGTGAGCGCGCAAGTGCTGTTCGTATGTACTCACTGACAACACATATCGTAACACCAAAGGGTTTCACGGGATGATTACATCCCGCATAAAAAAATTACTTTGATTTAAAATTTGTCCTGCCTTTTAATACAGCAGAAAAAATGTCATTTTAAGAGGGATAGAAAATGGTTTCTATACTTAAAAACGTAACTCCTAAAGACATGCTTGCAACAACACTAATTGCTAACACTAGAAGTAAGTGCAGTAATCTTTTTATATATCTCTGTAAGAATTTTTACTTGAATCTTAGGGCAATTTTGGTCACTTAGTCGGAAACCCCAGGCAGCTGAGGCTTACGGCGCTGTCTGCTGTCCCAGCTGTGCTCACACAGCTCCTGAAAGCAACTCGCTCGTGGTGCATGGGTGTCTGGGATTGCCTTCTGTCCCCTTGAGCTTGCCAGCCAGCGCACCTCCAAGTGACAGCCGGCACGACCCGCTGTCGTAGAACTGAGCTTCTGAGGAGAGGTGAGAAATATACTCCATATGTTCGCACGAGTAACTTCTAGACAGTTTTTAGGAATGTAGCTCAGTGGCGGTACGAGATACACAGGCGTGAGCATGACAAGGGGCAAGGGGAATTCAGGGACCCTGAAGGCTGTCCCTCACAGTTGGCTCCCTCTATGGGAACAGCCCCACTGTTCTCTGGTTCCCTGCTGCTGGCTCTGTACTAACCCAGGGCTTCAGTTAGCTGCGACACACTTTTAAATATTGGTTCTTCTAAGCACGTGTGGGTTACCGGAGGTGAGGTGTCGCTGCACTGACTCACTCCAGCTTGCAATAAAGGCAGCAGTGGCTACAAGTACGACTGAGTTACTTTTTTCACAGAGAGCAATCATCTAGTGATAAAACAAAACCGGTTTCAAGTTTCCATGTCAAGCACAGAAACTGCAGTGATGGCAATTGCAGACAGTTTGTGTCTGCCCTGCCAGCTCCTCAGCTGACCGAGGCGTAACATTGCTTGCGGAAGGCAATGCCTTCCCAAGAGCAGTTATTCCACTCGCCCACCTGGCTGATCCCTGCAAAATGTTTTTCTCCTTGGTGGTGGTTAAGCCCTGGTGATGGTGGTCAAGTCTCCTAGAGGCTGTGAAACCTCCATCCTTGGAGATACTCATCCCTCAACTAGGCAAGGCTCTGAGCAGCCTGACGTCGCTGGCCCCGCTTTGAGCGGGGAGCCTGGACGAAATGGCCTTCATAGGTCTCTTCCAACCTAATTGATTCTGTGACTTTGTGACTTCGAAGCCGTCCCTGGAGAGCGGTGCGGCTAGCCCCGGGTTCGCCATTACCTGCACTTGTAGTTCTGCCTGTCCTGGTCAGTCAGGATGAAGTAGTGGCCATTCCAGGCCTGCCCATCCCTCTCCAGCGTCACGTGGACGATGGCCGTGTTGTACCGCACCCGCAGCTTCAGCAGGGAAGCGAAGTCCTCCAGGTACCGCACCATCGCGTCAGCATTGGGGAAGAAGTCGCGGGAGTAGCGTCGGAAGA